AAAAGATATTTGGGCTTAACTTAATAAATGGAATTATTAGGTATTTCTCTGAGCCTGAGTTGTGAAAAAATTACTGAGACTCTAGGAGCACAGTTATCAAGAAAGTTTGAGAACCCTGGTTTTTTCTAGTGTAATATGAGTCTAATAACAGTATTTACAACATAGGGTTGCAATGAGATTAAATGAATTAATTTACAAAAAGTATTCGGAATAGTACTAGGCATCTTGTAGTAGTAGTAATATTACCACCTCATTACCTAGGACAGTTCTCGTCAATGATCTGACATCTACTTCTATGTGATTGATAAAAGAGTTTTGAAGTACATCTGCATCACTAACATTAAAACTTTATAACTGCCATCATAATCAGAAGTTTTTATTTAAATTTACTATCTGGGAAGGGACCAAAAATTATTCTATTTCTTTATTTTTTGATTTCTTAAATTTTTAGGTCTTCTGGGATTAAAATTTTCATTCTATTGTTTTTTTAATAACTAGGAATCCAGAATTTCTCTCTATTACAGAGTTTAAAAAAAAAAACCCTTCAAAATTCTTTTGTACCAGGTTGGTATCTTTTAAAAAGCAATTTTAAAACCTGTGTTCATGCCAAGCATGGTGGCTCACATTTGTAATCACAGCATTTTGGGAGGTCGAGGTGAGAAGACTGCTTGAGGCCAGGAGTTCAAGACCAGCCTGGGCAACATAGCGAGACACCATTTCTACACAACAAAAGCAAAAGTAATCAGCCAGGTGTAGTGGTGGGTGACGACAGTCCAAGCTACTCGGTAGGCTGAGGTAGCAGGATTGCTTGGGCCCAAGAGGTGGAAGCTGCAGTGAGCTATGACTGCAACACTGTACTCCAGCCTGGGCAACAGAGCAAGACCCTGTCTCGAAAAATAAAATAAAAATTGTGTTCAAAGAAGCATCTAATAAGGTATTTGCCCTCTTCCCACTCCCCACACCCCAACTAAGACCTTCTAAAAGCTGTTCTGCTAGGAAGGTGAGCAGAATTTACTTGCTACACATTGACTACAGCCTTTATCTTGCTTACTCTTTTTATTTCTTAATTTCAGACTTACAGAAAAGGTATAGAAATTGTACAAAAAATTCCTGTATACTCTTCACCCAATTTCTTAAATATTGCTATTTTACCACGTTTGTTTTATCATTTTGGTCATTTCGCTAGCATAGTATCTGACATATTTCTCCACTCTAAATTTATAATCTTTCTCTTTATAATTAATAAATATCTTGTGGGGACATACTTTGTGACTATGTAAATATCCCATTTCCCAACCAAACTTTACCTGCTAGTTTTCCCATCCATCGATGCTTCGATTATTACCATGATCATTGCCAGATAGTGATTTCCTAATTCCATTATTCCTTCTATATTTATTAGTTGATATTCTACAATAAGGACTCACTTTTCCTTCTCCCACATTTGCTTACTCTTATTTGTATGCCCACATATGTTATTCGATGAGTTATTATACATTACTATCATTATTTATTTTTATGCTTAATTGTTCCAGATTTGGCCAGCAGGAATCCCTTCAGGATAACTCTTGGACATTTTGACATGCCTGATCCTGTATTTTTAAAGCACTTCTAACTTACTAGCTCAATAAGATGTGCAAGGCTCATCTTGTACCCTCCCCAGCCCTGGCCTCCCTGGAATAGGCCAATTCCTCACGGAGCTCCGGTTCCTTTAAATAGTGAACAAAATTTAGAAATCATGATCTAAGTGACAGGTGTGCTCATTGCTCTTGGGGTGCCATTGTCCCTGGGCTTTCTCAGTGAATAGAGCCAGGGAATATATACATGCATATATATATGATTATACGTACACAATAAAAACATACTCATACCTTTCTTAAAAAACATGAGTTCTATACTGTCATTCCAAGTCTAATCCAACACTATAGGATTCATTCTACTTTTGTCCCATTCTAATTTGTAACTCTCTTCTCTCTGTGAGGAAAATGAATTCCATTATCTATAATAAATTTACTTATTTGCCCAATTCCAGAATATACAGAAGTAGTTTTAGAATTGCTACCAAAAGACATCTTCTAGTGCAAAAAAAAAAAAAAAAGTAACTAAAATTTAATATTCATTTGCAGTTCATTTAGTCTTTAATCTGAGAGTATACAGGGAAAAAAATCTATATTCTAAAGTGGCTTGGATTGGGTTAGTCCCCCCACCAACATACCTGCCCTTCAAGGTGACTATATTATTCACTTGAAGCTGTTAGTTTGATTTGTTTGTATTCCATTTTAGTATTTCCCTCCCCATTTGTGTGTGTGTGTGTGTGTGTGTGTGTGTGTGTGTCTATGTGTGTTTTAGTATATGAACACTAACATGGTTCCAAAAAATAGACCCATACAGAAAGAAATATCCAAGAAAAATGTCAGTCCTCATCTCCTCCACTTAGTCCCCAGCCTCCTCACCCTTTTTTCCTCATTTCCACCCACTTCCTGTAGGTAACCAGTCTCATTACTTTCTAATTTATCCTTCCTGGTTTTCTTTTTTGGTCAAAAAAGCAAACGTGTATGTTTTCTCACTCCTTTTTTTTTTTTTTTTTTTAAATACACAAAAAGTAGCATACTGTAGATACTGTTTTGTACTCTACCTTTTTCACTAAATAATATACCCTAGAAATCATTCTATATCGGTTTACGGACATCTTCCTCATTCCTTTTTTTTTTTTTTTTGAGACACACTCAGGTTGGAGTGCAGTGGTGTGATCTCAGCTCTGCAACCTCTGCTTCCTGGGTTCAAGCAATTCTCCAGGCTGGTCTCAAACCCCTGAGCTCAAAGGAGTTTAAGCCTTTCCTTGAATAGAGTCCTGAGTTCAAAGGAGTTTGAGCTCAGGAGTTTGAGACCACCCTGGGCAAGATGGCAAAACCCTGTCATCCTGCCTCGGATTCTCATCAAGTGCTGGGATTACAGGTATGAGCTACCGTGCCTGGCCTTATATTTATTTAATTAGTTTAGTTCTGAGAGTAATGCTGTACAAAAACAATGGGGCAGGGGAAGAGCCCTTAGATAAGAAATAATAGATACATAAGGATGGATCACATTCTGCCTGTGGGAATGATTGGGGATATATTTTTACATCTCTAGGAAGGACGTATTTCCTCCCAGCAGAGTTGATGATCTGAAGTTGCTGGCAACATGATAAATAGTGAAGGGAGTAGGTCTGCCCGTGCTACAGAGCCTGGTTAATTACACTGTAAATCATGCAAATACCGACATGTTGAACAAAAAGCTTCTCCAGACATCTTCTCCTTCTCACTAAAAGACAGTTCTTTAAAAAACTAGGCAGATCGGTAATTATCTCAAGCTGAGAATATACAAAATGCTGATACTAACCCCTAGAGATGCAGAAAAGTTTTAGGGCTTTGACGTCTGTAAGGCATTAAAAAAAAGCTTGGCCGGGCAAGTGGCTCACGCTTATAATCCCAGCACTTTGGGAGGCCGAGGTGGGCGGATCACGAGGTCAGGAGATCGAGACCATCCCGGCTAACACGGTGAAACCCCTTCTCTACTAAAAATACAAAAAAGTTAGCCAGGCGTGGTGGTGGGCGCCTGTAGTCACAGCTACTCGGGAGGCTGAAGCAGGAGAATGGTGTGAATCCGGGAGGCGGAGCTTGCAGTGAGCCGAGATCGCGCCACTGTGTTCCAGCCTGGGCGACAGAGCAAGACTCCGCCTCAAAAAAAACAAAAAACAAAAAACAAAAAACAAAAAAAAACGCGGCCGGGCGCGGTGGCTCAAGCCTGTAATCCCAGCACTTTGGGAGGCCGAGACGGGTGGATCACGAGGTCAGGAGATCGAGACCATCCTGGCTAACACGGTGAAACCCCGTCTCTACTAAAAAATACAAAAAACTAGCCGGGCGCGGTGGCGGGCGCCTGTAGTCCCAGCTACTCGGGAGGCTGAGGCAGGAGAATGGCGTGAACCCGGGAGGCGGAGCTTGCAGTGAGCTGAGATCCGGCCACTGCACTCCAGCCTGGGCGACAGAGCGAGACTCCGTCTCAAAAAACAAAAAGAAACAAACAAAAAAAACGCTTAACAAATATGATTTATAAATCATACACTCCTGATTAAGCATTTTATTAGTAGGACAACCAAATCCCACTCCCCATAGTCTACAATCAACACTGTAACATTGTTCTAGAATTTTATTATTTGTATCTTTCTCTTGGGAGCCTTTCCTTGCATAGAGTCTAGGATTCACGAATGATTCTCTACCCCTTAGAAAGGTAAATGTTTCATTTGGAAATCTTTGTGCGATCTGGGCTTTCACAGATGGAGATCAAAGATAGGAATTAGTCGTCTACTCCGTTCCTGACCAATAATGTCAGCAAATCCTCCCTTGTCCCTTTGTCTCTTCCACAATAAAAGCAAAAGAATATTACCATGGTGCACATATTGATATTTCACCACTTTTATATTACCATTTATACTGTGACCATTTCATTCACATGATATCTTCCAGGTTGCTCCACTGTAAATTTTCAGTTTTTCTCTTTGTAATTAATCAATAGCTTGTGGGACACACTTTGTGACTACGTAAATATCCTGTTTCTCATATGTGGCAAAGAGTTTCATGAAGAGGCCACAAATTCACAATAGGGGCCCTCATTAGATCTCCTTAAATATGATATTATTTAAACCACCTCATGCCAAATAGTCTATACCTGAAGAAAACCAAGTTTCATTAATTGCTGCTTTTATCTTGGCATCAATAACATGAGGCAACACAGCCTTGTTTAAAGAGCTCAAGCTTGGGAATCACACAGATTGGGTTCAAAACCCAGTATGGCAACTTACTACCTATATGATGTGAGAGGCAAGCTACTTGACGTCTCCGAGCCCTAGTTTCTTCTCAGAAACATAACATTGTAATATTAACCTCATAGTGCTGTTGTGAGTTCAATGAGCTCATATAATCTGAAAAGTACCCTGAACCCAATGTGGCACACAGCAGGCATTCAACAAATGGTATCTATTAATAAATAATAATGGTGATATTATTTTGGTTAGTTTTGAACCCTGATGAAATTTTTTATGGATGGAGACATTCTGGCATACTATACACCGATTCTATTGATCCAGCCTTATGCCAGAGCTGATTTAAAAACAGAAAAGCAAATTCCTTGGTAGATTCTCTTCAGGAAATTAAACTGTGGGGTCTATGGGCCCAGAATTCATGTCAACTCTTCATTTCAATGTGGACTGTCCATTTGGAGGTCAATAAGATGATTCCAGAGAGCCCTTTATTCCAAGACTGGAGTGCCACCGTGAGGTCAGCATTGGTCCTTGCGATATTTACTTCAGTTCTGTCCTGAGTAAAAGAATATTTGAGTAGTTACACTTACATTGCATTGTAGCCTAAAAAGTACTCTCTGTTGACTACTGGTGGCAAAAAAAAAAAAAAAAAAAAAAAAATACAAAAAGTGTAAGAATTTGGATTTCTTAAGTACTTGACTTGGATTTCTAAAGTACTAGACTGTTGGTAAATCTTGAGAATTTGAAATTGGAAACTCAGCCCCGGGGAAAGCAAGGTTTTTGTCTCACTGTGGGAATGGCTTCTGGGTTTGTTATCCATAGCCAATCACCCTCTCCTCAACTTACTTTTAAATTAAGATCCTGAAGTTACAATTCAGAAGTTCCTAGCTCCCATTGCAAAGAAATAATAATTTCTACTTTCAAATATCCATTAGAAACTTCATTCAAATGTCCCACAAAAATCTCAAACTCAACATATTCAGAATTAAAGTTACTATTAATATATAGTCCTCACACAAACCTAGCCCTTCAGCATTCCCCCTTTCCATGAAAAGGCTCACCCCTACTCAGTCACCTAAGTTTGAGACCTGGGAGTTATTTTAGGTTTCTGCCTCTCCTACTGTCCTCCCACATCCAATCACTTTACCTCCTTAATGTCCTTTAGATCTGCTCCTTTCTCTTCTTCCTTCAGCCACTGCCTTCTTTCCTCACTAGACTGCTATTTCAACATTGTCCTGGTCTCCCTGATTCCAGACTCACCTCTCTTCTGCGATGTTGCTAAAGTGATCTTTTAAAATTAAAAACTGCCAGGCACAGTGGCTCATGCCTGTCATTCCAGCATGTTGGGAGGCCGAGGCAGGTGGATTGCTTGAGCCCAGGAGTTCAAGACCAGCCTAGGCAACATGGTAAAACCCAATTCCTACCAAAAAAAAAAAAAAAATGTAAAAATTAGCTGGGCATGGTGGTGCATGCCTGTAGTCCCAGCTACTAGAGAGGCTGAGGTGGGAGGATCACCTGAGCCTGGGGAGGGCAAGGCTGCAGTGAGCTATGATTGCACCACTGCACTGCAGCCTGGATGACAGGGTGAGACCCTGTCTCTAAATAAATAAATATTAAATTAAAAACTGTTTATATCAGTGGTTTAACATCCTTTAATGGCTCTCAGTGCCAACAAGATCAGGTTCAAAGTCCTCAGTGTATACAAAAGGCCCGTCACAAGCTGGTCCCTACCTACCTGTCCAGCTCCAATTCTTGCTGCAGCATCCAATTCCAGCTTTGCTGAGCCACTAGTAGCTCCCCAAATACAACAGGGTGTTTCATGCCTCCTTACATTTGTTGCGCTGCTCTTCTCTCTACTTAAATGCCTGTCTTGTCTAATTGGTCAACACTTTATTTGTTAAGGCTACGCCAGCTTTATCTTCTCTACAAAGTCTTTTCTAACTTTCTACAAAGCCCACTCCATCCTGCCACCCTAGAGCAACTTACTCCCTCACTTTCTATAACTTATACTGCAGTGCCTAGAGAATTTCCTCGCTCTGTTTGCAAACAGTTCTCTGTCCCTTGCAAACTCAAAGCTCCTTGAGACCAAGGACTGCGTTTAGTTCATTTTTGGATCCCTAAGCCCTACTAGTCCATGCCAGAAACACTGTAAAAACAACCACCACCACGTTTGTTGAACGATAAACAAGGAGTGGAGAAAAAGTTTTCAAAAACATACTCTTAGGACACAGAGTGATCATTCTATTCACAACAAGTTATCCCAACTAGCCTCCACTGCAGTGTTAGACAGACTTTGTGTTCTCACTTGCTCCAGCTGACAAATCATGTGTGTCTACCAGTCAGACCGTACTGGTTTTTAGAGAAATTCCAGTTATACAAAACCATGATTCAGTTTCCTCACCGCTTTTGTTGACAATGCTTCTAAATTGTTTTGTTTTGTTTTTTCCCCAGGAGGAAATGGTCCTTTAATGAGTCAGCTGGACATTGTGAGGGTATGAAATGGTCTAAGTCTAACAGTTTCTATTTGCCTTCTTTCATTCATTCATCTAAAATTTATCACAAAGCACTAAGCAAAAAAACATACGGTCCCTTCCATAATTCATTAAGGTTGGCAGTTTCAGGGATCTTTGTCTATTTCATTTCACTTCATTAATTCGACAAGATTTACTGACCACTTACTATGAAACAGACTCCATAAAAAGCAAACAACATGAAGATAAATGAGATGTAGGAACAGCCCTCAAAAAGCTTAAAGTCTGTGGACATACATGGAAATATCATTTCAATGCTATAGGAAAAGAGTTAAAATAGAGGTACTTATGAAGTGGCATGAGAACTCAAAGAAAGATGGACTATGTCAAGGAGGGGACATTCAGGGTGAGTTCTCAGGAGAGGATGTGTAAACTGAGTATTGAAGAATATAAGGAGTTCTCCATGGAGGAAAGGAAGAAAGGACATTCCAAGAAGAAAGAAAAATAAGTAGAAAGGTTCTGAGTTGGAAGCAAAGCTGAAATGAAGTAAGAAAACTAAAGCTTAGAGAGGGTAAGTGACCACACAGCTGGTTAAGTGTTGGGACTGAGAGTTGAACCCAAGCTGAAGCTGTTTATGGGAGGGAGTCATAGTTCTTGAGAATGCTGAAGAAGATAAAACATTGAGAACCACTGCTTAAGGTTTGACCTACAAGTTATAGTTCAGACTATATTCAGTAGACAATAGGGAATCCTGAGAGGTTTTTAAGCAGAGAAACAACATGGGCCACATTTGGGCTTCAGAAATATAATTCCAGCAGGTGGATTCTTAATGTTGACTACAATTAGAATCACTTGAGAAGCTTTCAAAAATTACAGGCTAAGGAACCAGTATAGAACAATTAAACCAGAATTTCTGGGGGTGGGACTCAGTTTTCTTTTGTTTGTTTTGAGGCAGGGTCTTGCTCTGTTGCCCAGGCTGGAGTGTAGGCGTGTGATCATGGCTCACTGCAACCTCGACCTCCCAGGCTCAAGTGATCCTCCCAGTTCAGCCTCCCTAGTAGCTGGGACTACAGGTACACCACCACACTTGGCTAATTTTTTAAAATTTTTGGTAGAAATGGGGTCTCCCTATGTTGCCCAGGCTGGTCTTGAATTCCTGGCCCGAAGCAATCCTCCTGCCTCAGCCTCCCAAAGTGCTGGGATTATAGGTGTCAGCCACTGCACTTGGTCACTTGTTTTATAAGTTCTTCAGAAGATTCTAACACGTGGTTAGGGTCAAGAACTATTGCTCTAGAAGGAAGAACTGAAAGATGGAAAAGAACTAATATTGATGAAGAAGTTACTATGTGTGAGATTTTGTTCCAAATGCTTTATACAATAACTACAGAATATATATACACATATATATATACACACATATTAGGATTTTATACATATCTAGTATTCTGACCCATCTCAACCATTTTGAGCCCTGTGTGGTGAAAAATTATGCTACTCCTAACATCAAGGTAGATATTATAATCCTATAATCACTATTTTACCAACAAGGAAACTGAGGAACAGACCAGTGAACTAACTCATTTAAGATTATCAAATTAATAAATAATACAATTGGACTCAAATGTTAAGTCTTTCTGATGCCCCAAACCTACACTCCTTCCACTACATACCACTGCCTATGAGCCTAGCTTCATCTCCGGAACAATTCCAAAGTAGCTATCATGATCCCCATTTTACAAATAAAAAAATTAGTCCCAGAAAGATTGATGTGACCAAATCACAAATCACAGTTAATAGTGAAGAGGCTGGGAGAATTTAAACTCAGCCCTATTTAACTCCAAGTCCACGCTTATGAAGGTAAAGAATATAGTACATATTCAACACTCAATATAATTCTTCTTTCCTCTGAAAGGGAAGCAGCAAGTTGAGTTATTAGTATAACATAGAGTATTAATCCTAGCGGCTTCCTCTTCCTTCTTCGGTCCTAGGTGGCTAAACTTCTATGGAACTATCAATCTCAGGTGCTTTTTTTGTTGGAGTGGGGAGGGCAGAACTCTGCCATAACCTTCCATGATATTAACCCAGCAAAAGTTTATCCCTGGCCAAATCTAACACTATACACTTCACACCCTTATTTAAGTGGCTGAATCATGCTAATTTGTCTCCTTTTAAATTAATTGCCCTGAACCTCAAATGGGCATTCATTGCCCAGAATTATTACCGCCTTTCTTCAGTAAGTTCATTTTCCCACTGTTAGAGAATATTATTTCATATCACTTCTCTCATCAGCCCTCCAACACACCCTGAGAAAATTCCATCCCACCCCCATCCCATAATTCTCCCTTCTCTGTTGTGTCAACAATTTATACCTTTCCACTGGGTCATCCCACATAATTTACAAACATCTCCTAGCCCCCATATTTAAAAACATCAAAAAACAAAAGGAAACCCTCTTTGATTTCACATCTGGCTATAGCTACCACCCACCCCATTTCTCTGTTATCCTGCTCAGCTAAATCTTTGGAAGAGTTGGTTTCATCCATCTCCATTTCACCACCTTGACCAATCATCTCCGTTCACCAATGTCCCTGAAACTGACATTATCAGGGTCTAGTGACCTCCACATTACCAAATGCAGTGATCTTTTCTGTCTTCAGCCTCTCAACAGCCTTTGAAATAGCTGATCACTACCTTCTTCTTGAAACTTTCCTCTGGCTTTGGTGATGCCAAATTCCTGGTCTTCCTACCTCACTGCTTGCTTCCTACTTCACTTGCTTCTTCTCAGACTCTTGCTTTATGGTGTCTCCTCCTCCACCTGATCTCCAAGCATTAGAGTACCATAGGGTCAGTCCTGGGTCCCCTTCTCTTCTCTATTCATGGATTTTCTCTAAGTGATCACATTCAGGCTCAGGCTTTTGGAGAGGGGTTTGTTACCACTTACATAGGAATTAGGTTCTAAATGAGCTCATAAAGAAAAAAAATCTCATAAAGTTGAATTTTTTTTTAATTCCCTAAGTCATCCATAAAGCACAGGAGTTGTCATTTCATACATGTTAATTTTATATATGGCTCTGGCCATATTTATGTGCCAGACTGAAGATCAACACACTAATATTGAGTTTTCCTCTTATGTTGAGATAGATTAATTTTATTTATTTTTGAGACAAAGTCTCACTCTGTCACCCAGGTTGGAGTACAGTGGTGCCGTTATGAGTCATTGCAGCCTCAGCCTCCCAAGCTCAAGCAATCTTCCTGCCTCAGCCTCCCAAGTGGCTGGGACTATAGGTGTGTGCCACTACGCCCAGCTAATGTTTTAATTTTTTGTAGAGATGGAGTTCCGCCATGTTGCCCAGACTGGTTTCAAACTTCTGAGCTGAAGTAATCTGCCCACCTTGGCCTTCCAAAGTGCTAGGATTACAGGTATAAGTCACAGCGCCTGACCGAAGATGAATTATTTTTATTGAACAACAGATGAAGTACTTGGGAAATTCCTATTTTTAAAGAGTAGACAGGAAGACCACTTGGGACAGGAAGACCACCACCACCCCACTGTAATAGGGAGTAAGGGACGGAATCCATCTGAGAAATGGCAGATTCACACCCCCCACCTCATGCTAACCTCACACCTGCTTTCCTTGATTGTAAACGACTCACCTATACAATTTCAATTTGGTCAAATACATGTAACTGAATTTTTATAAGTTAAATGCGTATATGGTGCAACTCCTTTGTATCATTTATATGTTGATGACTTCCAAATTAATTTCTCTAACCCTAATTTTTGTTCCTGAGCTTCAGATTCAGAATCAACTACCTACTTGGATGTCTCCATTTAAAGTCAACTAGGCATCTTAACATGTCCAAAACATAACAATTGATTTTACCCTCCGTGTCTCACTTGTACCAAAAAGCCCTCCTTCTTCTCTTAGGCTTTCTTAGCTCAGTAAATGGCATGCCATCTACTCAGCCAAAAAACTAGGAGTGATCTTTGACTCCTCCCTTTCTCTCACCTCTGCATAAAATCCGTCAGGTACATTTAGCTCTACCTCCAAAATACACGCCAGATCTATCCATTTATCTCTTGCAACACAGATACCAACCTAGACAAGCCACGATCAACATTCTACTTTGACTAATCTGTTTCCACTCTCAGCTTTTCTGTGGTCCATTCTCCAAATAGCCAGTGTAATCCTTTATGAAACATCCACTCATTCATTCACCAAAGTGCACAGGAACTGGGAATACACAGCGAAGCAAAGGTATATCCCTGTGCTCAGGGACTTACATTCCAGAAGAGGGAGAGGCAATAAGCAGTAAATAATTTCGTACAGATGCAATAAATATAAAAAATTAACTGTGATAAACTAAATCATGTTCTCTCCATAAAAATTTTCAAATGGTTTCCTAAGGTGGAAGTCCAAATTCTTTACTACCACCCTGTTACAAGAATCTGTGATATCTGGCTTCTGTTTGTCCCTCCAACCTTATCTATACTACTCTATCACACTGCAACTTGGCTCCAGTCACACTGGCATTCTTTCTTTCTTTTTTTTTTTTTTTTTGAGAGGGAGTCTCGCTCTGTCGCCCAGGCTGGGATGCAGTGGCCGGATCTCAGCTCACTGCAAGCTCCGCCTCCCGGGTTTACGCCATTCTCCTGCCTCAGCCTCCCGAGTAGCTGGGACTACAGGCGCCCGCCACCTCGCCCGGCTAGTTATTTTTTGTATTTTTTAGTTGAGATGGGGTTTCACCTTGTTAGCCAGGATGGTCTCGATCTCCTGACCTCGTGATCCTCCTGTCTCGGCCTCCCAAAGTGCTGGGATTACAGGCTTGAGCCACCGCGCCCGGCCCACACTGGCATTCTTTCTATTCCCTCAAGGTTTCAATTTTTTTCCCCTTCTTCAGTCACGTGTTTCCCCTGTCTGGAATGCTGTTCCCAGATCTTGGACAGGTTGCTTCCTTAGCTCAAGTTATCACTTCAACAGAGTGAATTTCAGTAAGTCAGCTCTCCCATCATTTTCTCTATCAATTACACTTTTTTGTTTCATAGCACTTATTACTTTAGAGATTTTGCTTATTTGTTAACAATATCTGTTGTTCCTACTAAAATGTAAGCTTCGTAGGACGAGAAATCTTAAGATGTTGTTTACTAAAGTATCCCTCAAAGTCTAGAACAGTGCCCAACATAGGAGGATACTGATTAATATTTTTTAAAAGAATTTACACACGCCTGTAGTCCCAGCAGTTTGGGAGACCGAGCTGGGAGGATCGCTTGAGCCCAGGAATGCGAGGCTGCGACTGCGCCACTGCGCTCCAGCCTGGGCGACAGAGCGAGACCTTGTTTCAAGAAAAAAAGAAAAAAAAAAAGATAAATAATGACGGAGTACACGGTAGTAAAATACCCCCTTCTCTCTCACCCAGCCAGGCTCCGCCTACGGGAGCCAATTACGCTCACGCCCTCTTCCGACGCTGTCAGAGGCCCGGGAAGTAATCTGCGCAGGCGCTGTAGAACGGTGGCGCTTTCTGGGTAAAGATGGACGTCCACGATCTCTTTCGCCGGCTCGGCGCAGGGGCCAAATTCGACACGAGACGTTTCTCGGCAGACGCAGCTCGATTCCAGGTACTGTGCCCAGGGGACCGAGGCCCGAGTAACTGAGAAGGAGCAGGAGCCCGGGAATGAACCCGCTGCGGGGGGAGGCCGGCGCACATGGACACGCGTGGCCTGGTTCTCTCCCCGCTTGGGGTATTTTGCTTCCTTTTGTGTTCAGCTTACCTGCACACCTAGTCGGTTGAAGCCTTCTGAATGAGCTCTTTAACTATCCTGTTGTAGACCTAGTTGGGCCTGGCACGGAAACGCTGTTTCTTCCCTCTTACTCCAAGTTGGAATCCTCCTTTCAAAAGGAACTTTTTCTCCGAACCTAGAGGAAAGGAATTACGAAAACAGAAACAACCGAAGATGGAGAACACAGATTCTCTCACTATAGTCTCCCCCAAGTTTGGCCTGGCAAGCGTGTAGTTGTACCGGGCGTGGTTCTTTTTATTGCTTCAACCCCATGGCTTAAGTAACCAAGGAGAAGAGCGATTTATAAATGGGGGATCTTACCTAGAGAAGTAATAAGTGATAAATCGGGGGAAGTCAATTGGGCCCCAATTGTGGAAAATATTGAATGTCTACTTTGCTGTTTGAATGTGTATGTGTGTGTGACATGTGTTTCTTCTTTCTCTAACTAGTGAGTATGAACTCTGGAGCCAGATTATCTGGCTCTAAATGCTAAGTCTGCCAATTACTAATTTTGAGACCTTCCTCAAGTTACTTAATTTCCGAATGTCTTGGTTTTCTCATTCGTAATACTGCTATTTACTTTATAGAGTTGTAAATATGAAGCAATTTAATATGTATAAACATGCTTAGAAATCTGCTTGACATTTAGTAAGCGTATGTGTTCATTGCTAATATTAATTTGTTACTATTATGAGGTCAGAGAAGATCTCTTCAGATTCTATTTGCCCAGACACTTGTTAGCTCGACAGATACTTGAAAAGGTAGAAAAGAGGAGTCCATTGGACAATCTTGCTTGAATGAAAGGAATGGTCTTCTGTCAGTAGGTTTCATTTTAAATGTTTTGGGTTTTAGATAGGAAAAAGGAAATATGACTTTGATTCTTCGGAGGTGCTTCAGGGACTGGACTTTTTTGGGAACAAGAAGTCTGTCCCGGGTGTGTGTGAAGCATCACAAACACATCAGAAGCCCCAAAATGAAGAGAAAAAAGAAGAGAGCCTAACTGAAAGGAAGAAAGAGCAGAGCAAGAAAAAAAGGAAGATGATGACTTCAGGTTAGTGTTTGATATCTGTTATGTGTTTTCGCTTTAATTTTGTTCAGTTATAAAAATAATACAGGCTTATGGTTACAAGTCAGACAATAAAGTCATTTGTCAGCTGATGGCACTCAGGTTATTTCCAGGTATTTACCATTAGAAATATTGTTACAGCAAAGATAATTTTAAGTAAAGATACTTACATGTGTAAATCCTTTCGTACAGGTACTGTTATTTCTGCAGAATACCATCCCAAAAGTAGCATCATATGGTGAAAGGGTATGTACCCTTTCTTTGAAAAATACTACAAAATGACATCCCAAGTCCTTGTCAGTGCTGAATATTATTGGTGTTAATTTTTTTGCCAGGCTAATGAATGAAACTTTTTTTTTTTTTTTTTTTGAGACAGAGTGTTGCTCTGTCGCCAGGCTGGAGTGCAGTGGAGCGATCTCGGCTTACTACAACCTCTGCCTCCTGGGTTCAAGCGATTCTTCTGCCTTAGCCTCCCAAGTAGCTGGGACTACAGGTACGTGGCACCACGCCCAGCTAATTTTTGTATTTTTAGTAGAGATGGGGTTTCACCATGTTGGCCAGGGTGGCCTGGATCTCTTGACCTTGTGATCCGCCTGCCTCGGCCTCCCAAAGTGCTGGGATTACAGACGTGAGCCACCGTGCCTGGCCTGAAACTATTTTATATTTATATTTTTTTGATAAGTAGTGAGGTCGAGCTTTTTTTTTTTTGAGACGAGTCTTGCTCTCTTGCCCAGTCTGTAGTGCAGTGGCACAATCTTGGCTCACTGCAAGCTCCGCCTCCCGGGTTCGTGCCATTCTCCTGCCTCAGCCTCCCTAGTAGCTGTGACTACAAGCACCCGCCACTGTGCCCGGCTAATTTTTTGTATTTTTAGTAGAGACAGGGTTTCACCGTGTTAGCCAGGATGGTCTCGATCTCCTGACCTCGTGATCTGCCTGCCTCCGCCTCCCAGTGTGCTGGGATTACAGGCATGAGCCACCGCACCTGGCTGGTCGAGCATATTTTTGTATGCTTTACTTGACATTAACATTTCACCTTTTGCAAATTGTTTGTTCTTACTCTGCCCATTTGGACAGAGGCGTTTTTTTTTTTTTTTTTTTGAGACGGAGTCAGGCTGGAGTGCAGTGGCAAGATCTCAGCTCACTGCAAGCTCCGCCTCCCAGGTTCACGCCATTCTCCTTGCCTCAGCCTCCCGAGCAGCTGGAACTACAGGTGCCCGCCACCACGCCTGGCTAGTTTTTTGTATTTTTAGTAGAGATGGGGTTTCACTGTGTTCATCAGGATGGTCTCGATCTCCTGATCTCGTGATCCGCCCGTCTCGGCCTCCCAAAGTGCTGGGATTACAGGCTTGAGCCACCGCGCTACAGAGGCGTTTTTGTTTGTTTGTTTGTTTTTCTTTTCTTGTACTATAGGGCTATTTATATATTTTTAAAATCTATAATATAAAGTTTCCTAATCATTTACCTTTTTTTGGTAAACATTTGAGTTATACAATGATGAAAAGTAAAGTTCCTTCCTATTGTTTATCTCCAGTCCCATTTCTCCAGAGGCAGCCACTGTTAATCAGTTTCTTTTGTATTTTTCTGGGGACACTCTATTCCCATGTATTTATGCCTGACTCAAAAAAAAAAAACAAATACTCTACATACTATGTCTATATACTTTGATTACTCTATATACACTCTGTTGGGAACCTCTCTTACTACCTTCCTCTTTTTTAAAAACAATGTATCTTGGAGGTTGTTTGGAATCAGTAGGAAGTACATTGCCTTGTTTATTTTAACACAGCATTGTATCCCATTGTGTATTGCATAATTGATTTAACAAGTTCCTTTGTGATGGATATTTGTAGTTTTCACATTTTTGCTGTTGTAGTTTTGAAGTGTCATTCTACTTATCTTTGCATGTGTATGTGAGTATATCTGTCCCATAAAGTCTTAGAAGTGGAATTGCAGAGTTAGCAAACAGATTTATCCACCAGAAACACTCCATCAGTAGGAAGTACTTTGCCTTATTCATTGTTAACCCAGCATAGTAGCCCATCATACACTGTAGGGATGCCCCATGATCAATTTGACATGTAACTGTGTGAGGGACATTTACGACATTGTTTGCATGCTTTTGCTGTTACAGTGCTGCAGTAAAAGTTATTCTTCCCTGGCTGCAAGGAAGTTTGATAAAACCTTTACCATGATTAATAAGAAAGACATGCCACAAACTTAGCAAAATGATTCAAATGTTGGGCCACCAGAAATATACAGCTGTGTACTGTAACCATTGTGGCAACAAATGTATTTAGACCATAGATGTATGATAAATGTGTAGGCATGTATCGATTATTATTTTTTTTTTTGAGATGGAGTCTCGCTCTGTCGCCCAGGCTGGAGTGCAGTGGCATGATCTCGGCTCACTGCAAGCTCTGCCTCCTGGGTTCACGCTATTCTCCTGCCTCAGCCTCCCTAGTAGCTGGGACTACAGGTGCCCGCCACGACACTCAGCTAATTTAGTTTTTGTATTTTTAGTAGAGACAGGGTTTCACTGTGTTAGCCAGGATGGTCTCAATCTCCTGATTTCGTGATTCGCCCACGTTGGCCTCCCAAAGTGCTGGGATTACAGATGTGAGCCACTACTCCTGGCCAGGCATGTATCTTTATTTATTTATTTGTTTGTTTGTTTATTTATTTATTTTTGAGACGGAGTCTCGCTCTTTCGCCCAGGCTGGACTGCAGTGGCATGATCTCGGCTTACTGCAAGCTCTACCTCCCGGGTTCACGCCATTCTCCTGCCTCAGCCTCCTGAGTAGCTGGGACTACAGGTGCCCGCCACCGCGCCTGGCTAAATTTTTGTATTTTTAGTAGAGACGGGGTTTCACCGTGTTAGCCAGGATGGTCTCGATCTCCTGACCTCGTGATCCACCCGCCTCAGCCTCCCAGAGTGCTGACATTATAGGCGTGAGTCTCTGCACCTGGCCGCATGTATCTGTTTTTAACTGGAAAATTGAAGAGCTTATGAATTAGTAATGATTTGGGTCATTTAGTACCAACTGTCTCATAAAGGAAACAAAATTTTTTTTAAAGTCATTCTACTTTGTGATGCCTTCCAGCAAGGTATAAGACTTTCCTCTTTTTGTAAATTTGTCTCTCCATATGCATTGTACCCTTATTGTATTACATTGTTCCCTTATCGTATTACATTGTTCATCTGTTTCTTCTTAATTTATTAAACCTCATATATTGAGGAAATTAGCTCTATGTCTAGCATATTATGTTTACAAATATGTTTCCAGATTGTCATATGTCACTTGTCTTGTTTATTTATTTACTTTTTGGCCTTCTGTGCATTAAATTTGTTTTTTTAAAATTCTAAGCTGGCTCACTTCGTAATCCCAACACTGGGAGGCTGAGGTGGGCTGATCACTTGAGGTAGGGAATTTGAGACCAGTCTGGCCAACATGGTGAACTTTCATCTCTGCTAAAAGTATGAAAAAATTAGCCAGATGTGGTGGTGCACACCTGTAATCCCAGCTACTTGGGAGGCTGAGGCAGGAAAATCACTTGAACCCAGGAGTTGGAAGTTGCAGTGAGCTGAGATCACACCACTGCATTCCAGCCTAGGTGACAGAAACAGAGCAAGACCCTGTCTCAAAACAAACAAACAAACAAAAAACAACAGCAAACTTCCATGTTTTCTTATTTGTTTCAATTTGTTATATTAAAATCTTTGACCCTGTGGAATTTTATTTGGTATAAGGAGTGAATAGGGAACTAAAATTTTTTTGAAATGTCTGAATAATTGTCTTAATACCATATGTTGGTGTTTTGTCTTATGTGGACTAATTGTCTTAATATCATATGTTGATAATCTGTGTTTTCTCTATTGGACTTTAATGCAACTTTAATTGTATACTGATTTTCCATATATATTCAAGTCTGTCTCTGGACCTCTTCTGTTTCTGTATTTGTATACCAATACCAGCTTGTTTTAATTACTATGGCCTTATATGTTATAAAATCCAGTAGAGTGGAGAGGCATACCAATATTTTAGGCAACTCAGTATTTTCTCCCTACAGTGATCTTCAGAATCATCGCAATCCCAATTAGAATTCTAGCAGAATTTTTTTTGTAGAAATTTCTGCTAAAGCTTTGGCTTTCTTCAAACACTCTCATAATAAGCAGATACTACTCTTGGGCCTTCCAGAAAGTCAACAAGCAAAGTGCTTTGCACATCCAAAAAACCTATTGCCGTTGCCTTTGCTCTTGACTTGTCAACTTTTGCTTTGACTGGACCACTTCCACCTCTTGGTAGTCATTGGTTTAATTGTGCTTTGTCTTCATGATCAAACTGGTAAAACCATGTTTCATCTTCTGTTAAAGTTCTTCAAAGAAATGCTTTAGGACCTTGATCCCACTTGTTTAAAATTTCTTTTGAAATCTCTGCTCTTGTCTGCAGCTGATTTGGGAGCAGTGGTTTTGGCACCCATCAGATGGAAAATTTGCTCAACTTATTTTCATTAAGAATTGGTAGGTAGAAGTCCAGATGTGGTGGCTCATGTTTGTAATCCCAGCACTTTGGGAGGCTGAGGTGGGTGGATCATCTGAGGTTAGGAGTTTGAAACCAGCC